GTATCTGCCTTCAAGTCACCTGTTGACCAGGGTGACCCCATGAATTTCATAGGGACTTTTTTTTTTTTTAAATGAGCAAGGATGGTGATGGAATCACCTCCCACACACCTCTGTTCCTCATGAGCTCTAATTCTGGGTAGAGATGAAAATACTAGAAGTGGTTAGATGATTTGGATGTACACAGCTTCCAGCATTTTTGGATTCTCCTGGGGAGCAGGACTATCATGCTGATGGACTGACCTGCACTTCAGAATTTACTGCTGCATTTATTTTATTTTATGATTTTATGATTTTATTTCCATCCCACTCTTCTGCTAACATGGGTCCCAAAGCAGCTCACACATAGTTTGAAACAAAGTTACAGCTAAAAACTATCCCTTCTAATTAAAAAGTTTAAAAGATTAAATAAAGTATACTGTTTAAACTGCTGTCGTTTCTTGTTGTGTGCCTTCAAGTCGTTTTTGGCTTATGGAGACCCTCAGGTGAACCTATCACAGGATTTTCTTGGCAAGTTTCTTCAAAGGGGGTTTGTCATTGCCATCCTACTGTTAAATGATCACTTACTTAAAACAATTTAAAAGTGGGAATAGATAACTGTGACAATGTAAGCACACTGTCTAAGATTCCAGAGATGAAAACTGAGAATGCATGTGGTCAAGAAACATCAGAGCATGATCAAGATGGTAAAAAGTATTTAATGAGGAAGGATACACAAGCTGGAAGAGGCTGCAGCAGTTTGCTTTTGCCTGAGCTTATTGGGAAGGGCAATATTCTGCCTCTCTCCTGCTCTCCTCTCTCCTGATTTAACTGAGTGCAAATTACTTTTACACTTTGAACTCAGTTTGTCACAATTAAAGTAATTTGAGGACAAAGGGGGAATGTGGGGGGAGGAGAGAACAACTGGGAAATTTTAAAAGCAGTGGAAAAAGTGGGATGACAGAGTATTACCGGTAATTGGAACTTTCCTACCAAATCAGGACAGTGGGAAGGTATGCACAAATACAGGAAACTTGGGGCCTTTACAGACTGCCAGAAATAATGCAACTTGAGTCCACTTTAACCAGAGGTAGGCAACCTTTCCCTTTTAAGGGCCGAGGGACTTCAGCTCCCAGAATCCCAGGAGCTATTGGCCAACATGGGACTATTGGTCAACATGGCTGAGGCTTCTGGGAACTGAAGTCCCTTGGCCCTTAAAGGGGAAAGGTTGCCTACCCCTGACTTTAACTGTCCTGGCTCAGTGCTAGGCAATCATGGGAACTGTAGATTATTGTGGCACCAGAGTTCTCTGACAGAGAAGGCTCAATGTCTCAGAAAAAACTACAGTTCCCATGATTCCCTAGCACTGAGCCAGGACAGTTAAAGTGGACTCAAGTTGCATTATTTCTGGCAGTCTGTAAAGGCCGATAGACACACTAAAACAGGGGTTGGCAAGTTCCCCTTACCTGGGGCCGGTCTGGGGATCCCTGGGTCTTCCGCGGACCGATGGTGGTGGTGGGGAATGGCAGCCCGTGTGCTCACACACGCACACGGGGCCCCCACCACCCCCCACCCCCACCGCCCCCATGCGCCACCACCGCGTACGTCACGGCCACCATTTTGGAAAACAAAATGGCAGCTGTGACTTGTTTGCGCATGCGCAGTACTCCTGTGCATGCGCGAGCAAGCCGCGGCTGCCAATTTGGAAAACAAAATGGTGGCCGCGACGTGCGAGGTGGTGGTGTGGCGGCAGCACGCGCGGCAGCGGTGGGGCCGGTCCAAAGGCCTCGGGGGGCTGGACCCGGCCCGCGGGCCGTAGGTTGCCAAACCCTGCACTAAAAAATCCTTCTGAAACAATCTCTTAATCATCAAAAGTCATTCTAGTGGCTGAAAGCAGAGATATATAAAATAGGAAATGAGAACTGAATTGGCATTATATTGCAGTGATATAGGGAATCAATGTTGATCTTTAACAATAATGGCCTGTTTGCAAAGAAAAAACAACCCATAAAATTGGAATTATTTATAAATATTAAACATGTTTTGTACTGAAATCTCCTGTGCTGTTTTGTTTTGATTCCTTGTTACAGTTTCTGTTCTTTGTTTAGTGCCTTCACTTTCAGGATTCCTGAACGGAGGGATTCTGAAGTTATTTTTGTTCCCTTTGAGCTTCTACTGAATGTGACTAAAGAGAAAAAGAATCACTGCTGTAAGGAGAGGAATGAAGAGGAGCACGGTGAAACTAAATAATATTTGGATTTCAATGCTGGATATGCAAGTCTTATAGTCTGTTATAGGAAGAGACCAGGATTTAAACACAAAATCTTAAAACAAAGCAAAACAAAAAAGCACAACCCACTATAACCCACTTGGTCTGAAAGTGGTCTTTTAGCCCCGTGTTGCATAACTGTCACAATTTCTTGCTACAATGATTTCCATCCCACAACAATGGCCTAGCCATTCCCGTCTATAATTGTACAATCTGACTCAAATGGGAAATGGCTCGTGGAGCCTCACAAACACTTAGGTGTAAGTCCTCTAAATGAGCCTGCTGTCATGGCAACTCCTGTTTATATAGTACACAAGAAGGTAAGCCTGTTAAGTGGCTCTGCTTGCCTTCCTTTTATCAAAACCAACAGTCCACACATTGCTGCCGGGGCTGTTTTAATTACCAGTCCTGGAAATTAGCAGGCTGCTTATTTAGATGAGTATCTGAAGAGATTAACCTTGAGAAGGCTACGGTTGAAATCCAGGCAATTCTCTCATTTCCCTCTTTTTGATTATAATTTTTTTTCCTTAACTGTTGTCAAGTCAACATTGATGTATGGCAGCCCTATGAATGAAAGGCCTCCGGGTCACTATGTCCTCAGCAACCCTGCTCGGGTCTTGCAGACAGTCCAGGCCTCCTTGACTGAGTCATTGTTGTCGTTGTTCAGGTCATTTCCAGTTTATGGTGACCCTATCATGGTTGTTGTTGTTGTTGTTAACTGCCCTTGAGTTGATCTCGACCCATGGCAGCCGTATGAATGAGACATCTCCAGGACCTTCTGTCCTCCACTGCTCTGCTTAATTCCTGCAACCCATTAATACTCAAAGTGACCTCATTAATAGAGTCTATCCATCTGGCATGTGGCCTTCCTCTCTTCTTACTTCCCTCCACCTTTCCCAGCATTTTTTCCCGCCAAAGAGTCCTCCCTTCTCATGATGTGTCCAAAGTATGACAGTCTCAGTCTGATCATCTTGGCTCCCAGGGAGGTTTTGGGCTTGATCTCCTCTTGGACCCATTTGTTTGTCCTTTTGGCTATCCACAGGATCTTCAACACTCTTCTCCAGCACCACATTCTCTCAAATGCATTGATTTTCTTCCTATCATCTTTCTTAACTGTCCAGTTCTCATATCCATACATGGCAAGATTTGTTCAGAAGGGGTTTGCCCTTGCTTTCCCCTGAAGGCAGTGGGTTTCCATGGCTGTGCTGGGAATTGAGCCCTGGTCTCCCAGTGTCCTCGGCTAGTGCTCAAACCACTACACCACACTTCCAGAATTATGCTAATGGAATTTAATTTAAAAAATAAATAGGAAAATTAATAAATAAAGGAAATCAGTCTGCTTGCAAATAGTGGAGGGCAAGAGGGACAGTGGGGGAGAAGGAGATAGTGATACCAATGACTGCCAATATTGTAAATGCCCAGACAGTGTCATTTCACACATGAGGACTAATGGGAGTGCAGCGTGAATGAGTCCCCCCCCCAATCAATGGAAAAGGATGCCCAAACCATGCATCACAGACACAGCAGTTATGGGTAGTACTGATAAGTATCGCCAAAGGAGCTATTTTATTACTATAATTGCATTTTAAAGGCTGAATGTGATAATCTCCCAGGGGGAGAGAATCTACTCTTCAGCTGTGTTGCCTAGATAATGGGAGCAGCCCATTATCACAATATTGGCAGGTATGGCAGTACTCCAAACCTTTCAGATGAAGGTACTCCACCTCAACTGAAGGCAGCAGGCTAAGAATACAAGGCAGACCTCAATGTACACAGCTCTCTTCTTCCAGCTGCTGCTGCCCAAAGCAACCATTTTCCCTAATGACAGGGCTTGCATTAAGTGGTTTGGGGCTGGAGGTTTGCAGAGCAGACACCCACCATTCCCAAATGCATTGATGTCCTCGCGCTCAGCTTGAGGGATTGGCTGTGGCGTGTGGTATCTGCCATTTGTGTTGTTATCTTCCTGCTGGATCAGACAGCAACAGCAACAGCAACAGGGCAGGGGAAAAAGTAGAGCTTGGGCAAGTTACCTTTTAGACCAGGGGTAGGCAACCTAAGTCCCGGGAGCCGGATGCAGCCCCCTGAGGCCTTTGGA